TACCATTTATACAAACTTGAAAATCACTTTTAATATAACAACAATAAATCACATAATAACTAAGTTTAAAAGTAATATTACTCGTGGATATCGTATCGAACATTTCTCCTACAAACATGATTTAATGACGTACGTGTACGGCGGTGTACCGACGCCTAGGCCTACTTTAAAATGCAAATTTTATAACTTATGATTCGAAAATAAAGGCGAAATTACAATATATGATAAATAGATTTATTTATTTTCAGTGGCTTTCCGAAATAAAACGAGAAAATGCAATATAAGTCACAGAAATGCGTTAAACTTGCCGGTTTACCACAGAATTGGGAACATCGGCGATCGCCCAAAAATGTCAGGTAGGGACCGTTGGAGGATCGTCGATGCCACCTCCACCCAGGCCTAGGATCAGAAATCGCAGGCCTAGCATGTCGACAACCAATTGGGATGTGACGTAAATCTATTTCCGGTAGCCTCGAAAGTGGTGTAACGAACGCAGTTTGGCCCTTTTTTTTTATCTAACACAATCTCGCTCACGACCCAGCATCTCAACCGCTCGCGATCGATGGAGACATGTGAACGTGGCTATATTTATTTCAACTGAGACTCGCGAGGGTGGGGGTATTTGAGTTGGCGTTTTTAAGCTAGACGTGTATTCTAATAAATATTGTTACTTATCAAATATACGTGATCACAAATGAATTGATTAAAAATCAATATACTTAAGATAGGCCTAATAATTATTTGATTATTGTACAGTGTGTGTACCAAGCAAATACATATTGCAAGGAAGTTGGAACCACCAGAAAGCCAGGAAACCACATCTATGTCCGTATCACCCAGTTCTGCAGCATCTCCAGTGGTATGATAATGAATGAATTATTATTATTATTATTTTTTTTTTATAACGGTCCGATACCCCATGGGTTTTGTCTTTTTTTTTTCATGACAAATTGATTTTTTTCTCCTCGACAGACTATACCTTCCCCCACCCCCTTTCCTGAGTCCCAAACATAATGAGCCTGATGGAAGCGGGATTCTATCTACAAAACTCCCTAAGTGTTCCTCCCCCCTCCCCCTCCCCTTCAACGGTGACGGAAACGAGGAGCGGGGGAAAGATGACCCTTTTTTTTTACTCTTGGACCAAACCCATCACCAGTAATAAACATAGTTAACTAACACTATATGTCATTATTATTCAATATATTGTAGATTTTTTTGGTCATATTTAAACGTACATTAAAAGTTTTTATTTTCGAGTTTAGCAACGAGTGTGTGTCTGTATATCAATCAATCAATCAATCAATCAATCAATCAATCAATCAATCAATCGATCAATCGATCAATCGAAGTAACTTGAATAGCGCAAAAATAAAGGGGAAGATGACCCTTTTTTTTACTCTTGGACCAAACCCATCACCAGTAATAAACATAGTTAACTAACACTATATGTCATTATTATTCAATATATTGTAGATTTTTTTGGTCATATTTAAACGTACATTAAAAGTTTTTATTTTCGAGTTTAGCAACGAGTGTGTGTCTGTATATCAATCAATCAATCAATCAATCAATCGATCAATCGATCACTCGATCAATCGAAGTAACTTGAATAGCGCAAAATTCTATCACATTAAGTAATGTTCCGTGGTGCTGAATGACGATGGTGTAATTACAGAGTGCATAAAATGGGTAATCTCATTATCAAAAAAGTTAAAAATGTATTTTTCTTCAATAATAATAATAATAATTATACTGTAAATTGTAAAGCGCGCGTCTTTAATGTATCCTTGAAACGTACTCATCTCGAGCTTAAAGAAAACGATGAATCGAAATCTCCCTCCTTGCGTAAATACCACATGGGCACATGGCGTAGGTAGGCACTCTCTCTAGTTCTCATTATGTTAAGTATAAAACCTGTCCAAACTCTTAAATTTTATTATTATTTGAAAAAATAACAAAAAACATGTGACATTCCTTAATATGGTCATGATGGCGTCACATCATGACCATATACAGTATAACCACATTAAAATTTCATATAAAACAAACACAATAAGATATCACTAATTAGGCCAAGTTTTAAAATAAAGTTTTTTTTTCTCTTTTGTGGGTGTTTCCCACCTTTATTGTCATACCATGTAAATATATCAATAATACGTTCTCCAATGTATATACACAATTCTTATTTATATACATGCAC